GCGGTTACCCTGCCCCACACCCCTCCCCGGTGCCGGCGCGGGAGCGGTACCTGCGCGCCCGGGGCCGGCCCTGACCCGCTCTCGTGTCTCCGCAGTTTGTGGAAAGCGACGACGATGAGGAGCTGCTCTTCAACATCCCGTAAGTGCCCGGCCTGCGCCCCGCTGGCCTCCGGCACCCTTCGCTTTGCTGCTGCCTGGGCTCGTCCTTCGCCCTTGGGGAGGAGGCGAGCGGGCACGTCTGTGTGCTGATGTCACCCGGTCTGATTTGGAGATGAAAACGCCGGTCCTGTGTCTCTTGGCAGGTTTACGGGTAACGTGAAATTAAAAGGAATAATTGTGATGGGAGAAGATGATGGTACACATCCAGCAGAGATGAGACTGTAAGTACGATGTGTGTTAACTTTGCGGGAGCCTGAACTGAACTGATTGACGTCTTGTATCTAATAGCGTGTAAATGAGAGCAGTAATTCTTGCGCTGCTGGAAGGAATTGTAACTTGTATGGAGATGAACATGACTACTTGCTACTTTTTCTTAGCGAAACCTGAGTGCTGACTTTGGTTAGAAGTGAGTATTTGGTTTTAATGCTACCTGTGCGCCATGAGGAAACCAACCTGCTGCTGGCTTAAAGGCCTGCAGTAGGTTAAATGAGCCGAAAAGGGGTTACGCTTTGGAGGAGAAATCTGAGAAGGAGAGGACACCCGATGGGAGCGTCCCTTAGCCAGGTGAGGTCTGTAAGGGTCCTGGCAGCAGTTCTGTTTTACTGAGCAACGTGTTCCGTTTAGTCCCTGAAGGGAGGAGGCTCATTTTAATATGCACTTTTTAAAATGAAAGATTACTGAATACTCTGCCCTTCCTGCAGTGCAGGAAGGGGCACTTCCTGCCCAGTGCTAAATTTGGCTGTAGTTGTAATTATCTGCCAAGGAGCAGGAATTGTTACCCAGGTTTCCACTGGGGGCAGGTGTTCTCATCTTCCTTTGGTCTCCAGGGCACCAGAGTCTGAGGGCTTTCTGAGTGCCCAAGTGTGTTGAGTTCTGTAACTCCTCAGCGTTGTTCCTTGCTCTTGCTTGATGGTTCTTCAGGACGTTTAACATTCTGGAATATGATGCGACTGCCTTATGGGGGCTGTTAGTGTTTTCTCCCTTGGGAAACTCTTCTTGCTTTTATATCTTCTGTGGTTGGAAAGAGGCCGAGAAGCGTCTGGGTAGTGCTGATGGATGGGGAGCCAACCAATTAGTTGACCTGCATCTTAATAACTTCCTGGGTTTTCTCCTTCTCTTCCCAGGTTCAAGAACATTCCTCACATGTCCTTTGATGATGCAGCCAGGGAACCAGATCAGATGTTCAGCCTGAACCGGGATCTCACGGGAGAGCTGGAGTACCCCACCAAGTACGATGCAGACCCACAGGTCGGGGGGAGCGCGGGGTGTCACTTCTCCTGAGCTAAGGAGCTGGACTCTTGCTTCAGCCTGCTGACGTGCCACTGAGTTTTAGGAAAGTGTCAGTGGGGGGCAGTTCCTTCCCTTCACTTCAGTGCCGCACACAATACAACTTGCCTTCTGGGCTCTGTCCTGCGCTTGCCCGGTGAGAGCTCTCGTCTCCAAAAGGGTCTGAAAACCCGAGCAGGGGGAGGTCTGCACTGGTGACCCAGGACACCTCAGGGTTCAGAGTCACCTTGGTGTCCTGTCCCTTGCTCCTGGCCCCAGCAAGGGCTTCCCGTGGGCCAGCGGTGAGATGCCTGCACACTGCAAGGATGAGGCAAGCTGCTTCTCCTGCTTCTTTAGCCATTTCTCCCAAGACTGAGCGGGGGAGCTACACCCAGTGTGAGCTGAGTGTCTGCTGGGCCAAGGTGTCCCGCTGAGAGAGGAGCGGGTGATGCAGCAAAGAGTCCCCCTTCCCCTGGGTCTGGTGTGGCAGCTGGTGTGCAGAGCTCTGGTTTCTGAGTGTTTTCTCTTTCAGAATTGCCCGTTTCTCAAATGTTTACCATCTCTCGATGCACTTTCCGAAGAACTTTGGAGCTGAGACAACAAAGATTTTCTATATAGGCCTAAAAGGAGAGTGGACAGAGGTAGGTGAGAGCAGAGAAACGAGGAACAAGACAGTGCTATGAATGAAAAAAAGAGCTTTAAATCATAGCTTAAGTTGACCTCTAGCTCTCTGAGGAAGAAGTGAGAGAACGGTCTGGAGGGCGGAGGTGGAAGGTGTGTAACGTTTTTGGAGGAACCTGAATTCTTTCGGCTTCTGGACTAACACATTTCATCTTAATTCAGGCTCATCGCCATGAAGTGACCATCTGCAACTATGAAGCATCAGCAAACCCAGCTGATCACAAGTTGGAACAGATCACCCCACAGACTCACTTCATTTCCTAACAGTGCTGTTGGGAATATCACGAAGGCTCTGGTATAAGTACATGGAATTGATGGGACTGGCTTGGAAGGAAATGGATTCCTGAAGCACTGGAGAGTGGTGCAATAGCTTTACTTTTTGGTCTTTGCCTTGGAAAGCAGAGTGCCAAACGTGTGAATGCCTGTACGAAGCTGGTGATTGCTAAGGGCAATGGCTTGTTGGGTCCTCCAGAACGTAGCAGATCTGGCCTCGTAGCGGAGGAGACGTGTTCCTTAGGCAGTGGCAAACCAATGTCCGATGTTGTTTACTTCTCTTAACGGCCAATAAAATGTATTCTGAGGTTTAGAACTACTGCTGTGGCCTAGTCACCCAGATTCTTGCTGCCTGGACATGGGTAAGGGGCAGCAGCTGTCTGCTGAGCACAGGAACCACCTCTAGCTGCTTTTCTATCCCTTGGTAGGGAGCTGTCGCTGCTGGTGGGCGAGGGTTTGAGCTGAGCAACGATTTGGCGCCGCGAGCGTCGCTGCCGTGAGAGCGAGC